TTTGTTGACCTTCTTTGTATAAACAGGCCCAGATGGGGGCTTCTGTTCTGGGGGAGGGGGAGGGGAGGGGCCGGGAGACTCGGGAGCTGGGGAGGGGGGCTGTGGCTGCGGGGGAACCGGCCAGGCTTTTTTCTGCCCTAAATAGGCAGGGCTGGTGCAGGCCCTGCCAGCCCCTCCGCCCCGCCCTCCTCCTGCAGCCTTCCACACAAGCCGCTTTTGTCTGCGGGTCAACCGGCAGCTCGGGCTGCTGCTACCTCTGGCTGCGCTCAGACACTCGGACCCCCGTGACAGTGGCCCTGGCCCTGGGCTGTCCTATGGCCCGGAGACCCCGTCTGTGCATCTGGGGTGTCCCAGCCCCGCTGTCACCATCTAGAAGGTCACGGCCACTTCCCAAAAAAGGGTTTTCTTTCCCCCACCCCACACCCACCCCCTTTTTTTAAATAAACATTATTCAAATTTATTTATTTATTTTCATTTTATTTGAAAGGCAGAAAGATCTTCCAACCACTGGTATACACACACACACACACACACACACACAACACACACACACCACAAATGCCTGCAACAGCCAGGGCTGGGCCAGGCAGAAGCCAGGAGCCAGGAGCTCTATCCGGGTCTCCCACGTGGGTGCAGGGACCCAGGCACGTGAGCCATCGCCGCTGCCTCTGAGGGCGCGCACCAGCAGGAAGCTGGATTCGGAGCGGAGCTGGGACTCGAACCCAAGTGCTCCAATGGGGGATGCGGGCGTCCCAGATGGTGCCCTGGCTACTGTGCCAAACACCCACTCCACTCAAGGGGTTTCCTCTTCATTTCGCCATGCCTGATAAGCAGTGGCATCTTCCTGCAGCGAGAACCATTCCAGGTGGGCTCCCAGAACTTTCTCGGGGCAGCGAGTGGCGTGGACAGAGTGGTGTGGATTTCCAGGTGGCAACAGATCCAGGAGGCTCCGTGGAGGAGGCGGTCCCGGAGCAGAGAAACATGCAGGAGACCACAGCGGCAGTACCAGTAGTGCTAGAGTTATAGCAAGACTTCCCATTTTGTCCCTGTGAGCGATGCAGCTGGTGTGCAGCATGAAGGACTTGAGGCAGACTTGCAAAAGGACTTCCTCCCAAGGGGTGGCAGGGGGCACTGGCAGCATCCAAAGAAAGAAGGGTCCGAGCCTGGGAGAAGACAGGCCCAGGGCTCAGGGCTCAGGGCTCCTGGACACCACCTTAGAGCAGGGAATCGGAAGTCAGACTCAGAGAGGGACATTCTAAGTGCGGTTGGGGGTCAGGAGCAAGATGGGAGAATCAGCCAGTAGCAGGGGGCAGGGGCTGAGGCTCCCCAACCTTGCATAGAGGGGGGAATAAGCCACCAGAGTTAGACTGCCAGCGGGACTTTCTAATAGGGCTGCAGGGACCGATCGTCCAAGTCAGAGGAGCCTCTCTTGTCCAAGGAAAACTGCCCAGGAGCTCATGGTAATGGCGCCCGGTGGGCAGAGAGAGGGCCGGGGGGGGTCTGACTGCCCTGCTGTCCCCGCCCCTCAGGAGGCCCTGCCCGGGCTCATCTGGGACCTGGGCCAGCAGCTGGGAGACCTGAGCTTGGAGTCCGGGGGCCTGGAGCAGGAGAGCGGGCGCAGCTCAGGTGAGCAAGGGCGGGGGGCGGGGCGGGGGGCAGGGTGTGCCTGGGATGCCCCCAGTCCGTGCCTGCCGCGACCCCTGACTGTCTGCTTCTCCCTGATGTCCAGGCTTTTATGAAGACCCCGGCTCCACGGCAGGTGCAGACTCGCCGTCCTCGACCTTTTGCGGGGACAGTGGCTTCTCCGGATCTGGCTCCTATGGACGCCTGGGTCCCTCTGCACCCCGCGGCATCTATGCCAGCGAGAGGCCCAAGTCCCTAGGTAAGGTGGGTGGGGCTGGGGGCCCTGAGGCCAGGGAGAGGGCAGTGCGTCAGCCCTGGACGCGGGTTCTGGCTGCGCCAGCCCCCTTCCCTGGCATTGCTGAGCCTGTCTCTTCCTTTCGGGCTTCCGTCTCTCCGGCTGTCAGGCCGGGTTAATGAGAGGCACTGGGTGTCTCCCAGGGTAGTAACTCGGTCAGCCTGGGGCCCTCCTGTGCGCCGCTCTAGTGCTGTCCTGGGAGTGAGGGACACTCCTTGAACCCAACGGGAGGTTCTGCCCGCTGGTGAGAGCTGATAACATACAGAGCCAGGAGCCTGGACCTCCATCTGGGCCCCCCACGTGGCTGGCAGGGGCCCGAGCGCTTGGGCCATCCTCTGCTGCGTTGCAGGTGCCTTAGCAGGGAGCTGGATTGAAAGTGTGGAGTAGTCAGGACTCGAACCCGGCACTCGGATATGATGGGGCTAACCTGCGGCACAAGGGCCGCCTCCCCACAAACTCTTGCATTGCCACGTTGCTGTGCTGTGACAAGATAAACTACACAAAGGGACTTGCGGGTGTCCTCGAATTTGCGATTTTAGAAAATCCAGCCAGGGAGGGCTCTGTGGCCCCTGGGCCATTCGAGCGGCCCCTGCAGAAAATGAGGCAGCGGGTCAGGCAGGCAGTCTGGGGGGAGAGCCATCCAGGAAGCAGGAATGGCAGGTGCAAAGGCCCTGTGGCGGGAGTGCGACTGGCAGGTGCATCCAGGCGGCCAGTGTGGCTCCAGACCTAGAACTGCAGAGAGGAGCAAGAGATGGGGGTTGCAGCGTCTCGTAGGCCCCTTGAAGACTGTGTGGTGGATCCCGTATGAGAGCAGGAGAGGTGTGGAGGCCAGGAGGGAGGCGGGCTCCCGTCCTGCGCAGGCCGCGGAGGAGGAAGGACTCAGAGAGCCCCTCCACTCTCTTCCCCCCTTTGCCTCCCTCCCCTAGGAGATGCCAGTCCCAGCGTTCCGGAGGCGGTGGGCGTGCGGGCCGCGGTGCCACGGTCCTTCTCCGCGCCCTACCCGACGGCTGCGGGGTCCGCGGGCCCCGAGGCCTGCTCCTCGGCGGAGCGGCGGGCCCGCGCGGGGCCCTTCCTGACGCCCAGCCCCCTTCACGCCGTGGCGCTGCGCAGCCCTCGGCCCTGCGCCCGCCCTCCCGCCGACTCGCCCGACGCGGCGGCGGGCGCCGGGCGGTCTTTGTAGGTAACATTTAGGCCTTCTGGGAGGGCCCCCCCGCGGGGGGGGGGAAACCCCGAAAATGGCCCGGGGGCCGGATGGGGGGCCGGGCGGCCGGTATAGGGTGAGCAGGGTACGTCCGATTAGGTCCCCGCCCACGTAAGGGGCGCCTCCTGGGAGGGTTCCAGGGGGACTCTGGTTTGCTTTCTATCAATCCGGGCATCTTGGCGCGTCTGGGCTAATCAGGTAGAGTAAAA